TTCCGGCACTTTTACTATTGCTCTACAACCCCAAACTTTGAGATAACTCAAGTTTGGTTTCCTTTTGTGTCATAGCTCATATGGGGTTACCTCATTCCCTTTCATAGGAACTCGATTTAAAATGTAACAAGTCGTTAAAACGGCTTCCCCCCAAAATCCATCACTTAAACCCGAATAGGACAACATGGAATTAACCATTTCTTGCAATGTCCTATTCTTCCTTTCCGCTACACCATTTTGTTGTGGTGTATACGCCGCGGTTGTTTCATGTATTAATCCTATTGATTGGAAATAACTTGGATTATAGTACTCTCCACCTTTATCAGTTCTTAGCCTTTTTATTTTACCGTTAGTTTGCAATTCTACTTCATTCTTGTAGATTTTAAACTTGTCAAGGGCTTCATCTTTAGAGAATAATAAATAAACATAACAAAACCTTGAATAGTCATCAATAAATGTTACCACGTATTTCTTATTCCCTAAAGAAGGAGTGCTATGAAAATCACATAAGTCACTATGCACTAAATCAAGCAATGCATTGTTCTTTTCAACAACATTAGGAAAAGGGTTCCTTGTGATTTTTGTCAACATGCATGTTCTACACTTCTCTACACTTGGATCAAAAGCTGGAATTAAAGCATGCTTAGACATAAATTGCAATTTTTTATAATTAACATGACCAAGTCTCAAATGCCATAGAGAAGAGCAATCATTAACAACATACACATTATCTTTCAAAGTATTACAAATACTAAGTTTAAACATTCCATCACACAAGTAGCCAAGTCCTACAAACAAACCACCTTTAGATAATACAAATTTGTCAGATTCAAACACTAATTTGAAACCTAAACGATTCAGGATAGCACCGGAGACAAGATTTCTCCTAAGCTCGGGAGCATACAACACATTCCTTAAAATAAGAGATTTTCCCGAACTAAATATTAGCTCAATTTGTCCCTTGCCTAGCACCTTAGTGGTAGAGTCATTGCCCATGTAGAGTATCTCTCCACCATCAACCTCCGTAAAGGTCTTGAACAATGATTTGTCCTTGCAAACATGCCTCGATGCTCCTGAATCGATGTACCACGAACAATCAACCTGCACACAATTGATTTCAGAAATCATACACACATAATCCATAAAAAAATTAAGTGAAACTTGTGTACAAGAATTACCTTGTTTCTCATGGGATTGGCTTGGCTCGCCTTTCCCATCTCGAGCTTGATTCTTGCTCACTTTTTTCTTCCATATGGTACAATCTTTCTTAAAGTGACCGGGTTTAGCGCAACACCAACAAGCTCGTGATTTTTGACCATCACTATCCGCTTTGGGCTTCTTGCCCTTGTTTGTGTTTGAATTACTTCCCCTCTTCTTATTATTAGTCTTACCATCACCCACCATATTTATAGTAGATGAACTAGGATTACCATCCTTTTGACCATCTTGGATTCGGATTCCCTCTTCAATCCGAATGTGGGCTCCTAAATCCTCAAGACTAATAGATTCCTTCTTATGTTTTAGGTCATTCCTAAAAGTCTTCCAAGAGTTTGGTAGTTTGTCAATGATAGAAGAGACAATAAAAGTCTCATCTAAATTAATGTTGTGTTGTCTAAAGCTACCCAAAATACTTTGAATTTCATGGTATTGTTCTATAATTGATCTATCATCAACAATTCTAAAACTATTAAACTTGCTAACAAGAAACTTTTTACTTGAAGCATCTTCGGCCAAATACTTGGCCTCTAGATCATCCCAAAGTATTTTAGCAGATTCACTAAATTGGTAAACATCAAACAAGACATTAGACATACCGTTAAGTATATGACCACGACATATGTAATCATCATTTTCCCATTTGTTCCTCTTACGAGCGGCATCCAACGTCTCATTTTCCTCCTCCACCGGCTTCGGAGTTGAAAGAACGTAAGCCACACCAAGGGAAGTCAACAAGAAATGCATCTTCTTTTGCCATCTCCTAAAGTCCACACCTTCAAATTTCTCCAATTTCTGAAAATTGGTCATCATCTCCTTCACCGAAGACATCTTTGTAAAGAAAATTACACTTTTGGATTGTTGGGGATAATAGTAAACAAGGGAAATTACAAAGAAATATGGAAATGAAAACAGAGAAATTTATCCGAGTAGTGAACGGAATCACTTTCCCAAAAGTGTAATTTTGACCCTAATACTACAACCGGGTTTCACGAAAATTTCACTTAGGAGATAAAACGGAACAATTACAATTTGTTGTAGTCAAATTGTAATCACAATGATTCAAGTGGTTTGTATTTGTGATGATGAAAATATTGGGAACTTGCAATACGTTGTTAGAGAATGGAAACCAGAAAACTGACTTTTTCTATTGCTTTTTTCTCTCGGACAACTTTAATCATCATATATATGTATATATATATTAGAGCAACCAAACTTCCAAAAGGCATGATGCATGAAACATCAACCGTCAAACATTGAATGCAACCGTCATTCAATTTTATTTTTTTTTAATTATAATTGTATACATAATACTCAAAAGCAAATAATATAACCGATCAAGAAATCAACGGTCACTTTAATTTCTTGCTTTTAGATTAAACCTTTGACCCAATTTATACAATGTATAAATTGTATTACTTGCTCTAATACTTAATAAACCCAAAATGCTACACCATTACCTAAGCAAATTAAGAGTATTAACATGAAAATAGTCTTAATACTCTAAATAATTCTACAGAGAGGAGATTAACTTAAAATGTTAATCTTAGAGATTTACTGGGGCTCCCTAAAAAAATTGCTTTAAAAAACCCAAGGTAAATAAAAAGTTTAACCAACTTTGTTGAAATGTGTTCTCTAAATAGCAAGTGCTTACTGTTATGGGCGTAATTCTCACGACACAAAGTAAAGTCCGAAGTGTTGTCCTATTACCAAGACGGTCGTGTGTTAGACGAGTCTTGGTGTTCAATTAAGGTTGAATAAGATGGAGAATTCCAAGGAAACTAATGTCCATGTCCAAGCAACAACTAACGTCAATGACGCATCTTAGTGACGACGCATCTCAGTGATGGACGTCAATACTTGACGCCCGACAACTATAGTGACGTCTAAAAGCCTCCAGTGACCTTTGTCGACCTTCAATGACCTCCGTCAACCTACAGTGGCCTCCGACGACCTCCAGTGACCTCTGACGCGACACGTCAGATGACGTCAGAAGATGACGCCCGATGCCGACGCCCGACGTCCGAACAAGACGCATCTCGTAGTGCGATACCAGAAAGCTGCGGAATAAGTGAAGGTTGTTATTAGTGGTTCCTATAAATAAGGAGAGCATTTCTACCATCCTTTAACCAGTCAAGGAGGTTGTTATCATGAATATGAAGCCTAAACAAGTCTACATTCATCAAAGGACCAAGTCATGAAGTCAACCAACTACTTCCTAGAATCAAGGAAGTCACCCTTATCTTCCTCAACCGATTTCTACCACCAAAAGACCTATAAAAGGGGGGCAACGACCAGCCATAAAGGAAGGTTATACACAACTTATTCCAAGCATAAAACGCCACAAAAGAATACACTACAAAATACATCATCAAAAGATACAACATGAGGCTCTGTTCTACGATCTAAACGACGACATGTCTCATCCAATTGTTCTACAAGCTAAAATGATCGACCCAACGTTTATATATCTTCCCAATAGTCTTAATGTATACTTAATATCTTGTTTTTATATACTTAATCATTGTATTTGTATCAATAATGGCTATAACGCCCGTATCATAATGAATTGGTGGACAAGTAGTCACCCGCGGTTTTTACCCACCTTCATTGGGGTTTTCCGCGTCACCATATCGTGTCTATCTTTTTTTTCTTTTTTTCTTTTTTTCTTTTTTTTTTCTTCTTTTCTGTCATTTACATTTCCCAATCTCTTTTAATCTAGTTATCGGCATCCCAACCAAAGGTCGTTTCTTTAAGCGATTTTTGGCATTAACACTTACTTTGGAGTTAAGTCGATGAGACTAGGGGTGAGCATGGGTCGAGTACCTGTACCGTTAACACTATCGGTTCGGGTACCCGATAACCAATAACACTAAAATGATATCCATTAACCAAATCGATAATTTCGGGTACCTGGATTTTCGAATCGGTTATCGGGTACCCAATATGATATCCAATAATGAAAATTTAGAGTTTATAATATAGCTATTATGATATCATTCAACACTAATTAACAATAATACAACATGATCATGACCAAATTTCTAATAATATTACTAATTATTTAAATTATGAAGTGATTATGAATTAAAGTAAGAGTTTAGACTTTGGATAAATAGATTTATGTAGGAAAAAAAAAAGAAAAAATTGCTTATCGGATAGGAACGGGTAACCGTTAATTTTAAAATGGTACCCGAACCGTTATGGTTATCTGATCTTCCTTCCACAAAGGTATTTGATGGAAACCTAAATAGGCGTCCATAAACTCATTAAAACATGACATGTCGTAGAGTCTACTAGGCGGTCTATTTTTGGAAGTAGGAAGCTATCCTTCGGACAGGCTTTATTTAAGTCAGTGTAGTCAACGCACATCCGCCATGTTCCATTCGGTTTTTTGACAAGAACAACATTAGCCACTCAGTCAGGGTAGAAGCATTGTTGAATGAAACCTGCGTCTAGTAACTTCTTGACTTCGGCTGCTGCCGCCTGATTCCTTTCTTCCCCATGATTTCTCTTTTTCTGTCTGACCGGCTTCTTGTTTGGATCTACGGCTAATTTATGCAAGGTCAGGATCAATACCGGACATCTCCTCTACAAGAAAAAATGTCACAGAACTCCCGTAATAACTCTTCAAAAGCAAGACCCAATTCTTCAACAGCCGCCGTCCCCACTTTTACAGTTCTGTCCGCTCGTACCGAATCCAGAATGATGTCGATATTCTCATCTGACGCCTGAGGGCGCAGCTCATCCGGCCGAAGCCAGGTCAGTGATTGCTATTGGTTCTCCTACTTTATCTGTTTCATCGGCCTATTTCCAGTTACGACCTTTGTCTTCTGGTCGGCCTCGGACATCTCTGGCTTATCAACATTGATTAATTCAGGTGGAGTGGAAGTGGGTTTAACGACCGTTAAGTAGCAGTCCCTTGCCGTCTGTTGGTCCCCATAAAGAGTGTCAACTGACCCATCTTCGCAAACAAACTTTATCAACATCAAGGCCGGGACAATGACCGCCTTGATGGCATTCAGTGTTGGACGACCTATAACGTTGTTATAGGCCGTCAGATCCTTTAAAAATAGGAACTGGACAACTAGGCTCTTACACTTCTTCTTGTCTCCAATACGAACCAAAAGATCAATCCGCCAGATTGGATTTATCACACCCCCACCGAATCCAACTAGTGGGTGAGAAACTTGTTCTAAGTTATTTTCATTGAACTTAAGATTTTGTAAGCACGACAAACTGATAATGTCTGAAGAGCTCCCTGTGTCAACTAGGATGCGACAGACTATAAGGTTTCCTACCTTGAGCTTCATTACCATAGGGTCATCTTGGGGCATCTGAACATTGCCCCTGTCGATCTGCCTCAGCTATGACCACTTCAGGAAACGGCTCATGTTCCACCTTACTAGTCGACATTACTTGATTTAAACTCAGGTCATGGTCTTTGGTCCCTCTGATGGTAGGGCCTCCTGACGCATAGCTGCCATCAATGACAGTAACATAGCATGAATCAGAGTCATCACTTCCCTTTGGCTTATCCTTCTCTTTGCCGGACTTCTTATCAGTCTTCAGGGTTACCGCAGACTTGAGAACATAGCTATTCAAATGGCCATCTGCAGCCAGCTTGTTGAACAACTTCTTCAGACTTACACAATCATTGGTCTCGTGGCCAATGTCTTTGTGAAAATGGCAGTACTTGCTCTTATCTCTAAACCTAGTCGGCCCCTTCATCAGTTACAGCTTATCAAACTTCAAACGATCCTTAATCTCTATAATTATAGAATAGCCGTCACTGTTGAACTCATACTTTGGTTCATATGGTTTGGCTTTTTTCTTTTTCTTGGGCGGCTCTCATCGACCGTCCAAACTTCCTTCCTCTTCTTCTCCTTCTTAGGAGCCGTCTGCTCTAGGCGAGAGTCTTTAGGCTTATCTGGCCTCTCTTGACCATTCCTTTCATCAGGCGAGGCGAACTCACATGCTTGTATATAACGCTCGGCCTCGACCAAAGCCTCTGGAAGAGTGAAGAGTTGTTTACAAACTAGATCAAATTTGAACTCAGACCCCTGTCTAAGTCCCTTATAAAAATCTCTAAATGCCACATCGTCAGTGAGACTTAGGATCTGCATCCTCTCCATGTTGAATCGCTGGAGGTAGGATCTCAAACCCTCGGACTTGCCTTGAGAAATTTTGCTCAAGTTCATGTTGGTTTTCCTTGCAGGGATGTTCATAGAAAATTGATTAACAAACATATATGCACGGGATTTAAAGCTCGTGATGAAGCCAGGAGGGAGAGTGGCGAACCATCTCTAAGCTATCCCAGTCAATGTGGTCGAGAAACATCTGCACCATGTGGCATCATCTACAGCTTGTAGGTACATCATATTGATGTACGCCATAACATGGTCTTCCGGATTTTTGGTACCATCAAAGGCACCTACCAGAATGTTCTTGACCTTGTATGGTTGTGGGGCTTCCTCTATTTCCTTGGAAAACGCCGAAGGTCAATCTCCAAGGTTAAGAATTCTCATTTTCCATTCCAAAGTTGGGGAAAGTGTCGGCTGGACACCCATATGACCGACCGGATTATACATGGCACCCTGCACGAAAGCATTTTAGGACCAAAGGAGTCGGTCCATGTTGATACTGTCCAGCGGCTGTAGGTTGCCCCCGGAGAGGTGGCATTTGTTCATCAATAAATTTCTTGACAAGATCATCATGTCTTTTCATAGGTTGATCAACTTCAACCATCGGCCTCTTGCCATCCCTGATCTCTTTCCGGCGCCGCCGGATCTCATGGGGTGATTGTAGCCGCCTATTACCTCGGCCATTCCGAGACCACCTTAATGAACTATTTTGAAAAGTGTCTTCCGGCATAGAAGGAGTAGAAGTCGTGTCCGACTCCGGTGAATAGCCATTGTTTCTCTTATGAGAAAGGTACTGTCGAGCATCATTGAACACATGCTAACTACCATCTGGATTCAGATGCCTTATTGGCATCCTGTGAGCGGCAGTGTCTGGGATTTTGACCTTTGTCCAATCAACATTAGCAAATTCCCTATGCCCGTGTGGATGAGGAGTCGACTCCCTATCTCTTGGCCGCCTAGACCCCTCCTGCCGACCCTTATGGCCATCTCTGGCCTTAGAACGGGATGGCTGGTCAGCTGGCGTTTGCTTTTCTTGAAGCATGCTAAAAATTTGACCCTTAAGGTCATTGAAGAGCTGCATAACTTCATCTCGAGTAAGATTACCCTATGTAAAGCATCCGGTTTGAGGAGTTTCTAGCAGAGGATGTCGCATGGTTTGGGCTTGCCTAGCCTTTCGCCCCACAACTCCTAATGGAAGAGTCCGCCCAGCAGGTGGCGGCTGGACTCGAGGGTGACCATCCGTCAGTAGGGGGCTCGATCGGTCACCTTAGGAGCCGCCTCTCTTTCACGGGTATCTCTAGCCCGTGTTCGTTGGTGATGAAGGTGGCCTTGATTGTCCATGGCTAATTTAGTTTCACTTTCTAGATCAGTTTGCACATGACCATCAGGACTCTCGGCTTCTGGTACAGAACCCTCTTCAACCATTATTTCAACAGTACTCTCCCCAAAGACGACGCCAAATGTTTCGGGTTTTTTTTTTATGTCCTAAGGGAGAGTTACAATGTTGAACAATCGTCCGTTCCAAGGGCTGTACCTACAAAACAACGAAGCTCCGACAAGTCGGGTTCACCTCCGATGCTCAAGTCAGTATACAGAAATCGAGAGAATAAAGATGCGTAAAATAAATGCAGAGAAAAGGTAATTTTGGGGATGTGTGTAAAACGTGCTTTTTCCTCATTAGTAAGGGTATTTATAGCCTAGGGATGCGTGCCTAATTAGGTTATTTAACCTAATATTTTTGGGCTAATTCTTGTTTTATCGTTTAAGAGTAATTAGGGCTAAGGCCCGTCTTTATTGTCCTGGTCAGCATGCCACGTGTTAGGTTATGATTAGTCAGAGCAATCTAGTTTGCCTTGACACGTGTCGTGACCGTATTGGTCCATGTGTCTGGGTATTTTTACCCCAAACAGTCCCCACATTACTTTTACCATAATAAATAATTTATCCACTCACATTACTATATTATACTCCTGAAACTCCGCGCATTGCAAAGTAGGTCTTATAAAAAAACGGAGGGAGTATAATGATATTTTGATTATCTCAGAATAAAACGACTTTTATCATTCATCTTCCCAAAATAGAACAAATAACTGGTTACCTTTTATAAGGTAAACCCGGACACGTGTCGCACTACATTAGGCAGGATTATCACCGCCACCCCACCCCAGCCAGTCCCTTCTCCTTTTCCCGTGAACACCACCACCTTCCCCCTTCTGACCAACCTCACTACCCTTTCTAATTGGTGACTACCCCCGCCCTCTTCCCCTCCCTTTCGCACCACTGTACCCCCTTCCCCTCACAAGTTCAACCTCTAGCAGCCTTCACCCTTTCCCCTCCCTTTTCCGACCATCACACCTCAATCCTCTCCCGCTTTTGGATCATTGCGCTGCTTCAATGAGAGAGGAAGGAAAGGTGATGGCTTAGTCAGCGGGGAAAGGGAAGGCTCATTCGGCAGGGAAGGAGGGTAGGGCGTCATGGGGGAGGGTTTTCCCTCAAAGATGGAGGTGACGGTGGGTTTACCGTCGACAGTGGGTGTGAAGATGGGGGTTCACGGGGTGAGGGGTTGAAGGTTTTTTTTTTTAAATTAATAAAATGATTTTTTTTTTATTAAAATCAAATGTTTAAATTAAGAAAATTAAAAAATTAAAAAAAAAAACTGACCAATTAAAAAGTGGCACGTGTCACTTTTAACCTTTCAACCAGATCACCAACCGTTTACGCTACATTTATTGAAGATTAGTGTCAAAGGTCGTTTTATTCCATAATAACAAAAGGTCGTAATATTCTTAGAAGACCGAACAAAGGTCATAATATTCGTGACAAATTTTCCTAAGAAAAAAGGGCAAAAGCAGCAAACGAAGTATCGAGTAGACTTTAGGGGATGTTTATTTCATAAAATTGGAATGGATTGATATGAAATCTCATATAGAAAGGTATGAATTCTAAAATCCATATTAGTCCAAAGTTATTTTGGTTTTATTGTTTGAATGGATTATATACTTCATTAATAGAATGGATTGTGAATCTTAGGGGGAGAGGTGGGTATGGGATTTCATAGGTATAGGGGAGAGTTAGAACCCCTTCGGTAAGAGATTCCATTACTAAAAACCTCAGCCAAACAAAAAGTTAGATGGAATGGACCAAACAGAAATTAACAGCAAAATAAAGATTGAAACTATATTCAAAACAACTACTCTATGATATAATAAAAAATCATAAAATTAACAATAAACCCAAAAAATTTACAAATAAACCAGAAAACAGAGTAAAAAACTTACTCCAACATTATGTGTATCAAGGGTTTCAAATGCCTTAATGAAATCGTGACTCGTAATATAACGACATTCCTTTATATAGATTTATGATGGAGAATCATTAAAGAATACATTGAAGAATGAAGGGAACATCAAATTAGAATGGCAGAATTCATTGTCACCCTCTTGATGTTTTCAACCCCTCCAACAAAGTTATATGTTCTCTCAAATTTATTAATTGATTCAAGCAAGAGTTATCATAGGAGGATGATCTGGTTTTAATTCAACTAATGGAAATAACAATTTTTTGGCTGATTTCCAAGAGTTTGATAGGTTGGCGGATCTAGATTCAAAGTAACGGGTGACCCCACTTACTTTTAATAAAATAGGAAGAAATAATGATTTATTTAACATTAAAATTAGGGCTGGCAAAAACTGATCCGACTTGAAAACCCAACCGAACCCGACCCGAAAATAGCGGATTTGGGTTGAGATTTTCGACCCGAAAACTTAAATGGGTTGACAAGAACCCGACCTGAAACTAAATGGGTTTGGTTAAGGTTAAAAATTTCAACCCGAAAATGACCCACTTAACTCAAAATCATTTTCGAGTCAAATCAGGTCGGGTTCGTTTCGGGTCAATCCAAACCCGACCTTATAAAAAGTCTTAAAAAAAAAAAAAAAAAAAAAAAAAAACTAAGACTGTTAGTTTACAAATTTACTACAGTACTACCAGCCCAAAGGCCCAAATCTTTAAACAACCCTAAGTCAAAAACCCTAACCCTCAGTCACTCACTCTCACTCTCTCATCTCAGGCAGCCGTTTTCACATTTTCTCTCTCCTCAAAACTTTCGTTCTCCATTTCTCTGTTTCTCCTCAAAACCCTAACCCTAAATCGTTTCAAGTAAAACGTCG